CTTTTTATTAATAAATAGCTAAAGTAATAATAAAGTTATTTTAGCTTTAATTCTATTAAATAAGCTATATTAGCTATTAATATATATTTAGGAAAGAACTATATATAGCTCTATTTCCTTATAATTAAAGTAAAAAGGTTATTTATAGTTCTAATTACTTTATTAATTATATTCTTAAACTTAATATTTAAGTAATTTATATTATAAAGATATATTAAGAAAAAGGTCTTTAAGTTTATTATATAAAATATAATAAATTTAATATTATATAATATATAGTTTATTAATTAAATTAGCAATAAGTAATTAATTATTATTACTAATCTAAAAATTCTATATTAGTAACTTTTATACTAAAATATACTAAATATAAACTAACCTCTAGTAAACTTTTCCTTTAATTTTAACCTCTTTAATAATTAATAGACTTTCCTAAAAAACTTATTTAATACTACTAAGCTACCTAACCTAATCTATAATATAATATTAACTATACTAATAGAATAAGTTTAATCTTTAAGGGCTACCTCTACCTAGATTAACTTAATATAGTATATAATATACTAGAACTAAAGGTTAAACTTTAAGTTATTATAATTAGTAGGTATAAAGGAATAATTATTAGTAAGATTTAGCTTATCTAGGCTTTTCTTATCCTCTAAAAGTACTTTATACTTAGCTTAATTTATTAATATTACCTTACTAGCTTTATAATAGATTAATAGACCTAGTAGCTATAACTACTAGATTTAAATTATTAATAGTAGCTTTATTACTATAAGGAGGCCTATAATTAATTAAAGGCTTAAATATTTAATATACTTAGAAAATAGCCTCTTTAAGTTATCTCTTATAATTATTATTATATATTATAGGACCTAGTTATTTACTATAACTAGATATTTACTAGGGATAATAGTATTAGATACTAATATTATTACTTTACTTAGATTAGATTAGATTAAGAGAAATTAGTAGTAATAAGTATCCCCTTTTAGGGCTATAGCTAACTTATATATTAGCTAGCCCTTATTAAAGTTTTTTAAGATATTAGTGCCTATACTTAAGCTTTATATATAATCTTAAAAGTTTTTATAGTGTTAAAAAGGTTTAGGTATAGACTATAGCTTAGTTTTTTTAAGATATATATTAAATAGCTGTAGCTTATAGTTATATGTGTGGCCTAATCTTAGGATATTACCCTTATATATAGTAAAAAGAAATAAATAATAAATTTAAATAAAGTCTATAGCTTTATTATATTAAGTAATTTTATAAGCTCTTTTTTAAACTTAATATTCTTTATATTAATTATAATATTTAATTTAATTATTAAGTTAATTTATTTAAGTATTTTAAATTATAGTTTACTTATAGTTAAAATTAATAAAGTACTTATATTTAGTATAATCCCTTAGGCCCAGTGGCCAAGTAGCTAAAAGCTCGGACTGGAAGGCCGCGCGGCTGCCTAATTGAACTTGGCACACTTAATTAGGCAGCGCACACGCGAGGTCCTGGGTTTGAATCCCGGCTGGGCAGGAGGGATTTTTTAGCGGTAGGCGGCGTGTGTTCCCCCTAAGTGCTCTAGTGTAGCTAGCTTACCCTGTACTAAGCGTTTTAAGGTTAAAATTAGAGGACTTATACGAGGTAGGGGGCGGGTTTTATAGTAATCCTAGGGTATAGGGTAGGCCGCTTTTCTTAGCTAGCGAAAAAGAAATACCTCTAGTTAATTACTACCCTATAGGGTTTTATCTAGCTATAAATATATTACTAATTACTAATTACAGTATAATCCCTTAAAATTATATTATATATCTCTCTTTAATAATAAACTATAATAAATCTTATAATTCTCTTTAAATCTCTTCCTTAAAGAGTAAATACTAAAATACCTTATTTAATAAGTATTATATTAATTATTACTTATTATTACTTATATATTAATCTTCCTTATATAGGTTATTATAATTACTAAGGTCTTTATAATTTACTATTTTATATTAATTTTTTACTTCTTCTTAATCTTAAACTTATTATTTAAATTCTTTTAATATATTATCTTCTTTTACTTCCTCTTCTACCTTAAGGAATTTAATTATAAATTAATAATATATATTAAATCTTTATTATAAATAGTTTATTAATTAATATTTAAGTTTATTATAAATAAAGTAGTATTTCCTTTAGTTATTTTATTATAGTTTTTAATCTTAATTAATAAAGCTTTTATTAAATAGTTTTCTTTATATATTTAAAAGATAATAAGATTATTATTATATTTTATTTAATAGCTTCTCTATATATTTATATTACTAATTAATAAGATATATATCTTTTATCTTACCTTATATTATTAAGGTTATTAAGCTTTACTTTAATTATTTTAATAAATTTATCTTTAAAGCTAATATAAAGCTTTATATAAAGGTTTTAGTATTTATATATTCTCTTTAAAGTACTATTTCTAACTCTTTTAAGCTTTTATATACTCTTATTATTATATTTTTAAAGTTATTATCCTCTCTTTATTTACCTTTAAGTACTTTTTATACCTTTATAAAGGTTATAAAGACTTTTTATAGAATTTAATATATTATAAAGTCTTAGTTCTCTCTATTTACTTATATTAAAGTAATATTAATTTAAATTTAATTATAATAATATTACTATTTATTAATAATATTATTAAAGTATTACTTTAGCTTAAGATATACTTTCTTAAATATATATTCTTCCTTAATATATTAAAACTAAAAGTCTTATATCTTCCTCTTAAAGATCTAAAAGAGAATAATCTTAAATCTATTTAACTATATATTATAAGATTTATATATATTTAGTATTATCTTAATCTTTATATTAAGTATATTATATAATTCTCCTTTAAATAAATACTCTTTTATATTATATAGCTTTTAAAAAGCTATTAATTCTTATATAAGTATAATACTTATTTTAAAGTTATTTTTTAATAAAAGGTTATAGTATAAATTATATAATTTATATATATAACCTTTTAATTATTAATTTAGAATTAAGTTTTAAGAAGGTAATAGTATTTATAGGATTAAGTTTACCTTTAATTAAGGTATTTTTATTATATTAACCTTAATTATAGATATTATCTCCCTTTCTTAAAGTAATTATAGTATTAGTAATATATATTCTTAAGACTTTCTATATTATCCCTATAGTTAAAATACCTAAAAACTTAAATTAAAAATATTTATTAAAAATTATTAATTTTTTAGCTATTTTAGTAAATCTTTTAAATTCTATATATTATTAAGTATAATCTTAAGTATATTATTTATAAGGCTTATATATATATTATTATAATATAAAATATACTTTAGCTCTTTAATAATATCTTTATTTAAAAGTATATATTTATTTAGTAATTAGTTCTTAAAATTATATATATATTTATTAAGTAAGTTATTATTATATAATTCTATATACTTATAATTCTATATATATTATATTATATATATATTAATAAGCTTAAAATTAATTATTTAAGCTACTTTAATTAATTAATTAATTATTTAGTTTATCTTATTAATTAAGGATTTTAATAATTTAATTATTTTATAAACTTCTTTTACTTTATTATAGTTAAATTTAAATATAATATTTAGGGTTTAAGCTAATTATATTATTATATATACTTAAGATATAAATTCTATAATATATAATAGATTTAGTAATAAAGGTATATAAAGTTCTATTTTTATTCTTAGAACTAAGTTCTCCTTTTTTAAAAGGATTTTAATAAACTATAAAAAGTAAGGTAATAATAAGAGAGATATAGAGGAAATTATAAAGGATTTTTAATCTCCCTCTAGAATTTAAGAAAAAAGGAGTATTCTTTAAAAATAAACTTTTATAATTAAGTAGTTATAGAGATAGTTAATCTTAATAATTATTCCTTTTTATATTAATAAATAGATATATATAATATAATACTCTTTAAAGGTATTTTTAGTATTAATATATTATTAAAGGAATAAGTAATTTTTAAAGTAGCTATTTATAATATATAAAAGGATAATATATTATTATATTATATATTATAAGTAGCTTTATAATATAAAATTAATACTTAGCTAAAGTAGTATTTTCCTAAGTACTTTAGAAATTCTATCTCTTCTTCTTTATTAATTTATAATTACTATATAATTATTAATTAATAATAGAAGGCTTTTCTAAAGTATATACTATAGAGTAAATAGGTTATAAAGTAGTTAATTAAGTTATTATCCTAGCTATAAAGGTAAATTACTTATAAAGCTAGTTCTAGAGTAATCCTAATTAAGTAGATTACTTTATTATTAACTTTTAGCTAGTAATTACTAGATATTAGTATTTAGTATACTAATAGCTACTTATATTATAATAAATCTAGTAATTATATTTATTAAGCTTATTATTTTACTATAAAGCTAGCCTCTTAATAATTAGAGCTTAAATACTAAAAATACTTATTAAGAATAAGAGGTAGTTTAAAAAGTTAAACCTTATTAATAATAATTTATTTATTTATATTTATTAAAATTTAAGATTTAATATATAGTTCTAATATATTCTATATTATATTAAATTAACTTAAGTAGAGATAGCTCTTAAAGATTAAATATAAAATTTATTAATATAATTAGTTTATATTAGTTTAAGGTTAATATATTAAAGAAGTTTTTAGGAAAGTCTATTAATTATTAAAGAGGTTAAAATTAAAGGAAAAGTTTATTAAAGGTTAATTTATATTTAGTATATTTTAGTATAAGAGTTATTAATATAGAATTTTTAGATTAATAATAATAATTAATTACCTATTACTAATTTAATTAATAAACTATATACTATATAATAGCTAAATATATATATTTCTTATTAATTAGTAACCTCAACATTGGCTCTTTTTCATAAGCAGGGGTCCGGTCATGGAGTGAGCTTCTAATTTCATCTCATCAAAAGCTCTAAAGGCCGAATCCGACACCATGAGCAATTCTTTGCGAAGCAAACATGGCTGCTGGACTTGTCGGCTGCGCAAGAAGAAGTGCGATGAGCTCCGCCCTCAGTGTGAGACCTGCGCGTCTCTGTCCATCACCTGCTACGGCTTCGGGCCCAGACCTGAATGGATGGACAGCAATGAGAAGAGGAGAGCAGTGGCCAGCAACTTGGCAGAGATGACCAGGGGCCAGGCGTCCAGCCGCAAGACTGCCTCCCGACCTGCCCGAGAGCCTCCCACCCATTTGCCTCAGCTGGCCCCGAAGCCGAAGAATGCTGGACCACTGCCAGCGGTGAGTTCACTTCGGACGCCTCCAAAATCTGAGCGCTCAGCTGTACGCTTCTTATCCCTCTTAATTCGTAAATATGATGGAATACACTGACACCCGAAGCAAAGTCACCCTCACAGAATGTCGATAATGGGGCCACCCATACCTTGAAAGTCAACCCTCAGGCTGGTGACTATGGCCTAATAATGAATTTTATTGATTCGGTTTTGCCGTTGCAACTACCTCTCTATAAGCCCGATGCTGCCGCTGGGGGGCGCGGGTGGCTGTTATCCTTGGTGTTTCGCACGAAGGCTTTTTACCATGCCGTTCTTGCGTTGGGTGCGTATCATCGGTCCACGGTCATGTCCCCTCACGGATCGTGCGAGTGGCAGTTGGAGGACATGAAATTCCAAGAGGAAAACCTTGCATTTTGTTTAGATCTTGTCCATGAGTCTACCAGTGGCGCATGTTCCAAAGATGGGAGCGGCGTGGGCATTGCAGCAGCTATCACCCAGCTGCTCTTCTTTGAAGTGAGTTACCCCCCCAAGTTATTAGGCCTCCTGGTGACAACATCGCGACGTTTGATCGAGATTTTGGCAATTTGAGCTAATTATGTACAGCTCTTTACCAATCACAACAGCAACGGGTGGCAAGCACACCTCCGCGTTCTGGTTAGGTTGTTCAAACATGTCTATACAAGGGACTTGATAAACATTGGCCTCTCCGATCAGTCGCGATCCATCCTGATGGGCCGAGAAGAGCTTCGAAACCACTCTCCGGGCGTGACAGAGGAAGTGATGGGTTTCAGAACAATTGCTGGGTCAATTGTTTGGCTGGATATCATTTTCTCCGTGACCACGGGTGAAGCACCTTCTTCATGGCCAGATCCTCTCTTTTCCAATGACTCTGCTTGCCAGGTCCACCTACAAGACATCATGGGCTGCCAAAACTGGGTAATGATCCAGATCGGCCGCGTCGCAGAGTTCCATAAGCAAATGACACAGGCATCAGAGCACAAGTGCGACGAATATATGAAGATTGTGGAAGCCATTCACAACGACATCCAAGTAGGGCTTGCAAATTTAGGTCCCCCGGAGCTGATGGGCCCCTGCGGCCCTCTGGTTGACAATGACAGCCCCGGCCCCGACCTAGTGGTCCTGATCACCTACCTGTATGCGCAGACTGCCCTGATTTATTTACATCTGATCCTTCATGGGTTCAAGGGCTTTCAGCATGTCAGAGCCCCGATCGCCATAGTAACAAACTATGTCCGACGCGGGGTAAAGCCGGAACTGCGTCCTGCCCTCGTCTTACCGTTCTACATATGTGGCTCCGTCGTGGATGAAGGGGATAGAGACCTGTTCCGATCAGTCTTATCTAGCCCTCCATTGACGAACCCATCCCTTCAGCATCGACCGAGGGTGCTACGGGCTTTGGAGGAGATTTGGTCCCAGAGTCAGAGTATGCCTGCTTACACTTGGCATGACTGTCTAATCTCAAGCTCTGATATCCTACTCCATTAGCAGAATGAAAGGTATGTTTACGATCATGTTAACTGCCTCCAACGGTTGCCTTATTTGAACACTTGCAGCCGGCAATCATTTCAACCTCTTAAAAGGGATATTAATCTCGCGCGGAGTGTAGTCGTTTCAGCGAATAGCACGATGATCAAGGCCAATGTAGGGGGCCTTACCAGTTTAGGGGAATATTGACTGAACTTTGCGGTGTGAGTTGATTCAAATAAAAATAACATCTCAACGATCGCGGAGCTCCTAAAGTGAATATGAAGTTAGACACAAGGCGGAACATGTCATGGCCATATGAGTAATAATGTATGCTGATGCTCCCCCGGTTTCATAGGGTCCAACGTAAAGCTCTAGGGGTTGGGGCTGAGGGGTGTTGCTGAGTTGTCATCCATGCCGAATTCGGCTCCAGGTTTCATACTACACACAGAAATGGGATTTCAAACTACTACAGTTCTTTGGAGTCTTAAGACAAGGCGTTGAGTTGGCACACTCTTGTAACGAAGCCCATGCGTGCCCTTCTAATGCGGGCTTGGATTTACATGCGTCGCGTCAGCCCCAGAGCCCGGTTTCACGATCATGATAGTCCACATTTCGCCCACAAGGTAGGGCGCATGAAGGATTTGGGTCAGTTCAAGGTAAGTCCACCGAGAAGAGGCGCAGAAGCATGACCCCATGCGACATGCAATGGCCGGTATCAGCTCGTGACTAGATAGGTGTGATGAGAAGTAATGAGCAATTGATCACTAAGACCGACCTATACAATGCCCCAGAGACGGATGAACCCCTCTTATATCTTGTAGTCAGCTACCTATATCGCCTAGTAAGTGGCCGTCTTTCCTTGAAAAGCAAGATGCAGCCTTTAGGCGCTCAGATTTAAGTTGCATTGCGACCGAATGGATTATTATATGCCTAGAATAAAAAACATAATAGGAACATTCTGTTTATAAATCCTGTCTTCTTTATTAGCTATAAGGTCGCCAAATCCGTGGCGAGGCACACCAGCGAAAGTCTGGATCAAGCCCGACATTTCTGGACAACGTAGCGCAGCTTGATATGTTTTCATTAGGAAATCATAGCACGTTAGTACTAAACAAATAACTATTTCAGTATTCTTTACGGATTAAGTTCGCTGAACGATGCGGTAGACCAGCCTTGTTAACAACCGTTTCATAAATCAAGAGAATAATGCAACATGATACGCCAAATAGTAAGATTCTTTTAGCAAGCTGCCAATTATCGCACAATGCTGGCATCAAACTCTCCAGGGGCCCGAGCGGTGGGCCGCAAATCACTCACGTTGGGACACGCATTGCGGTATTAATAGATAGAGCAGCCCTACTAGGACAGGACGGGTTGGAATTAGTAGATCTTTGTAACCCAATATCATGCGTGAGTGACTGGGTTCAATTGAGACAGGTCATGTTGCGGGTATGATGGTTGGTGAACAAGCATTAGTCCGAGCGTTTCGTCGGGGCCCCTTATTTGGAAAGTCTAGGGACTCAATCCGGTTTTGGCTGTTCATGATCGACTGTCACAAGGATTCGGATCCAAGGGCATCGAACAGTAGTGCCCGTGTGCAACAGGCTGAGCCACAGCCCCTCATCCTACCAGATGGATAGACTTGATCGCTCTTCAACGAGTCACACCGATGCCCGTCTTACCGGTGCTTGGAGGACAGGCGCCTTTCAGGTCAGAATTTCCTTTCCCATGCATAGTATTCAACCTTTTCCTTGACAAAAATAGGGACGTCCTCGTATGTGGGCCCAGCTCACGAATCCTCCGTGTGTATCATTCTCACCATTGCGACTGACACCAAAACGTGTGGAAGTGTCAACTCTCATGTTGTTTGACACCATTGCGCCAGCCACTAATTTTAGAAAAGTCTCCAACCTCACTATCTAGAACCATCTCGATGATTTTGTATAGAAATACGTATATAAGGAGGAGGTTTCTCTCGTTATAGCATTACCTTCTCATCATCACTTATCATCAAAGCACACAACAATAGCACCAAACCAAGCACCTAGAAGCCGGCCTTCTATTTTCTTTGCGTTTCTTCTTTTTGGTCTTTTCCCTTATTGAACGATTCCCATTGCTTCTTTCCACTTTCCGGATCTCAAATTCAGTTCTCTAAATTTCTTGCCTGGTCAAACTTTCCGCATTATACCATTCAGCCATCATCCTCGCTTTTCTAGATCAATTTCAGTATGATTCCCACCAAGCAACTCAGCCTGGCAGGTCTGGTCTGGCTCAGCCTTGCCAACCAGGGATTTGCCCTAGAAATTGGCCAAACCTCTAGTGGCCTCAACCTTGTTCAGAGAGACCCTCTCCCCAGCGGTAATCTCAAAGTTGCTCTTGCCCCAGGCCAGAAGTTACCCAAACTCCCCAGAGACATGAAGGTAGCACTCGCCCCAAACCAGATCATGCCCAAGATCAAGCACCACCGCCACTCAAAGCGAGACGAAGAGGAGCTTGAGATTCGCCAGCCTATTCTCCCTCATGGAAGTCACCGCTCTAACTTCGGTGGTCGGATGAGCCGCGGTGGTCACAGACCGCGGGATGTTGAAGAGCGCGATCTTGACCTCGAGACTCGTGAGCCCAAGGCCTTCCACGGCGGTCACCGTGCTGGTCGTCGACATGGCCCCCGGGCTGTAGACGAACTTGATGAGCGTGACTTGGAGGAGCGAAAGATCTCCGCCAAGGGTGTCGCTAAGGGCATTGGGCCTGCTCTTCCGTGATATTGATGAGCGTGACACCGACGAGCTGGAGCTTGAGGCCCGATCTCCTATCTTTTTACCCCGAAAGCACTGGCATAACAAGGCTGGCAACAGGCCACGGGACCTTGCAGTTCGCAGACGCAAGTCCGGTTATCTTCGCACGCCGCGAGATCTTGAGACCCGAGCTCGCCGCCGCCGAGGAGGCCGTCGTCATGGGGGACACTCAAGACGGTGAGAAATTAAGCGCGCGTGGGAATTCGTGACCACTAAGGGTGAGGGTCGTGACAATGGGAGGGAAGTTCTAGTGACACTTGGCTGGAAGTCGTGTCGGCTTCTTTTTCTTTTTTTTCTTCTGCATTTTGTATCGGTTTGGATCAGTGGATTTTTCCTCTCTCCTTTCTCTGGCGTCTGATCTTCTGCTGGTTGCTCTTGGCTTTTGTCTTCGCCTTCTTCTTTCTTGTTAGATGTTATTTAGAATTAAGTGAATTGCCACTTTTTACGTCAAGACTTTGTGTTAAAATCAGCGCTCGATATCACGGATTTGCACTTTCTCATCAAGAATTTTCGCAACGAGAACACGGCAGCCATATGGCAATTACCACATTACCGAAGACCAGGATGGATTTCCAAACCAAGAATGGCGGGTGGTTATTGAATGACTACTTCCGAATGATGCCGTGAATTACAAGAGGGGACGCTGAACCTAAGATCTCGACGTCAAGTAATGGGCTCGTAGCTACGCAACTCCCGATTTCGCCGAAAGACATTTATTGCCTTTAAAATAAGTGCAGCCGGCCGGACATACAAATCGCCTGTCAGTTTGGAAAGGCAGTGGCTCCTGAGTGTGCGAAGGGCAGTGATTGTGCCAATTATGCGCGTCGCTGGAGGGGACATCGCTACACCTACGGGGTTAATGGTAACACTCATCTACTGTTGAATAATAGGAAAGAAAAAGTTCTGAAAAGTGTATATTTTAGAGTCCTACTATCATAAGTTCCCCGAGTTGGCTGAGAAGGCCCAAGGCGATTTGACACACCGACTTATTCGGAGCATTATGTTGGGCCATGGTAACGCAGAGCTGTGCGTTTTCGGCTTGGCGTTGTTGGTCATCCTCACTCGATGATGGCCGCCTCACTGATCCATTGGGCAGTGATGACTGTGAGGCATCGGCGAGGCGTTTTCTGATATGGTCTGGGCTCTGGCCAGAATGACAAAATCTGTCAGCGTGCATATTAGGCGCCATACGAATACGGGATCAGGCAAATAAGGCTTGGCTTAGCAAAATCGGAAGCCGACAAAATCGGGAGGTCTGGAGGGGTACGACAAAATCTGGTACCGGAATCTTCTGCTCGAAGGCGGAGGCATGACATCCCAGCTCAGACGCCGGTGGCACAACGTAGGTAGATGAATATATAAAGTGAATCATTTCTCTACTTGCTAAAAAAATCAGTCGGATTCTCCATCTCTCTTGTTTCCTCACCATTATTCCAGCAGCCATAGCCGAGTGGCCCAACGATCTGCCATAACAATTTCCCACAATTTCAAGTTTTACACAACCTACCATGCCGATTGTTCTCCAGAAGATCTGTAAGGAGCAATGGGAAGAGTACAAGCCGATTATCAAGCGCTTGCACATGGATCAGGGTCTTCCTGTGAAAAGCAAGATTGGCAGACCAAATTTGACCCAAGTGATGAAAGATGAGCACAATTTTGATGCCACGTAAGTCTAAGACGTGCATGCATATATCAAACGCCGTTTGGGAACATACTGATATCCATTTATTAGCCATAGCCAGTACGAAGCCCAATTGAAGAAATGGGGCTGGGTAAAAAACTTGAGCAAAACGGAGTGGAACCTGGTTCTGCCTTTATACCATTGGTTGAAGGAACAACAGATGGATGTTCGAGTCAGAGTCTCTGGTAGACCCCTGGAAAAGGCTAGGCTTGAGAGGGGTCGTCGATACATCAAGATAAGATTCGATGACGGTCTCGTTCCGCCACCAACCGGGTGTAAGAAGAGTCTTTCTTAGACTTCGATGCGGAGATCTAACATACCATAGGGCTTTCAATGTCGAACTACCGCCATATAACTATCGAGACGCGTGAAGCGAATAGAGAATGGTCACAGTACCCATCGTTGGACAACACAGGAGATGTACCAGGCCCTGGCTTGAATCCAGATTTGGATCTCTTACCTGCTGAACTCATGTTGCAAGACATGCCGCCACAAGAGAATGTCCTAGGATTTGACAACGGAACGCTCATTCAAGCTACCCTCAATGGTTCGGAGACTATCGGAGCATTTCCCGTTCACATGGTGGATTCGTGGTTCAATGCCCGCGAAACGCCCCTCGACAACATAATCAAGCCACAGTTTGGTGACAACCACCCAATTACGCATCCTCCCAACAATTATCAGATACCATGTATATTGTGGGAGCTCCCACCGTTCTTTCAATTCCTTCTAGAAATGCCCGCGATGACTCTGCTTGAGAATACGACAAGAATTGGCGCGAGGTCGGTCCAACAAATAGCTCAAAGTTTTTCTGCAAGACTGTTGGGATATTCAGCGGTCTTACAACGCAGGAACGAAACTCCAGCAAAAATAGATTTGATATTGAAACCGCCTAGCATTGAATTGGTTTCACAGCGCCTCGTTGAGCTTGTACAAGAGATTGAATCGCAGAGTGACCTGTTTGCAATAGCTTTTGGTGCCAACAGTCTTCCCTATGCGATTCTGTACTCCATAGCCAATGGGTTTACTGGGCTCTCCGAGGTTCCGGCTTCCTCGGTGGTAAAACTGCTGAGAAGTGAACCGCACGTGTACGCGACGATGCACAAACTTCTTCTAGATGCCTCGGCTCTCATTGCGAAGCCTTTCGCTGAAAATCTACTAAAAGCATCCGTGGAAGCTGCGGATGCGGAAGCTGTTCGAGTGATCGCTGGAACCATGATGCAGAGAGGGATTAAGATCGACACAAATGAACTCGTCTGCGAGTGCGACGGAATGTTTTTCACCCCGGCAGAGCTTGCGGGGAAACTTCGAAACGTTGACCTGCTTCAAGTCCTGCTAAAATTCGGCGCAGACCCAAATAAGAGCTTAAAGAATGATACGTCTGCCATTCGTGGCGCATTGGATTGGGCGCTGAATGTCAAAAATGTGAACGGGGTTTTTTTGGAAGGCGAAATCGAACCATCCTTCGCGCTTGTCCAAATGCTCGTCGAGGCTGGTGCCAAAGTTAACGTGTATTCCCTCTTACGTTCAGCGGATTGGTGCCGCGACTCTCGAATCCTGGCGTTGATGCTCAAAAAGATCACGGATGATCAACATGACAAGCTGTTGCAACATCTGCCAGACTTGGTTAAAAAAATCGACAACGATCTAGGCATACAGGCGACACAGACACTTTTCCAACTCTTGAAAGGAGACGGCTGTCAATGCAGCAGTTACATTTCTCCGGTCTCTAAACATCATCTTCAAAGGTCACTCAATGAAGCAATTACTCACCAAAACTTGGAACTTTGCCAGCTCATTCTCAATCACACCGTTCCAGGGCCCTCTGCGCTCCCTCTGGCTATCGGGAAAGGGGATCGTAGAATCGCCAGCCTTCTTATCCAACACGGAGCATGTGTGAGCGATGTTGCTGCTAGAGAAGGGGAAGCACCAAGTGAATCATACATTGGGGGTCCACTCGCTACACCGCTAGGGGAGGCCATTCGGCTGCAGGATCCGTCTATGCTACAATGGGTGGAACAGCAAGGGGCATGGACCTTTGTATCGGACGAAAAGTATCTGGAATCTGTAGCAGAAGCCGCCACTAGCGTCGGGAATATGGCTGTACTGGAGCGGTTATTTGCCATGGATGTCGTCCGTGACCGTGATCCAAGCCCGAATTTTCGGAACGCGCTGGAGGCTGCGACTCACAAAGAACACATCCCGATTGTGCAGCTATTACTAGATAACGGTGCCAGACCCGATGAAACGATACTGGAACTTGCTCTCAAGGCCAAAGATGGAGAACTCGTTCGAATGATTCTGGACAGCGACATCGCATTTTCTTACTCCGGGTCTGAGGACCCGGGGGCCACCTCCGCTTCCGAAGATTACAGGTGCGCACTAGAGCTTGCGATTGAATGGGGGGATACGCAGATAATTGAAGAGCTGATTTTTGCAAAAGCCCACCACAGTATGCCGCAGCAAGGGTCGCGAGGACTCTGCGCTGCCATCAGAACAGGAAACGTCGTATTGGTCGATCTGCTGTTATCAGCTGGTGTTAGTCCCGATGCTGCCTACTGGTATCAAGATTCGAAAAGCCATTTGGTTCGATCCATATCACCCCTGTTCACGGCAGTTAAGAGTGGAAACGAGGGAATGGCACGTCATTTACTTCAGAAAGGCGCAGACCCAGCAGATGCCACCGCCCTCAGTCTCGCCATCGAACTAGATAAGACATCTTTATTCAGAACGCTGCTTAGAGCCTTTCGACAGTCATATCCCACTGGACGTTCGGATTTCGGGGCCGACCCATTAATCAGAGCGATAGAAAAGGAGGGGTGCCCGTATTTCGAAGAGCTTCTTGAGGCTAAGATGAATGTCAACCATGTGTCACGAAGGCACGAGTGTACGCCACTTGGCAGCGCTGTCGAACGCCATGGCACTGCCTATCTGGGAATTGCTGCCAGGCTGCTGGAATCTGGGGCTGATCCTAATGCCATCGCACGAGTGGACAGACTGAGGGATCGGTTTTATTACATTGATGCCTTGCTGCCGCCAAAGACCGCACTGCTCATAGCGATTGAAGCCGGAAATAAAGACATGGTGGAACTCCTGTTGAGAAATGGTGCTGACGTGAACAAGGAAGCCCGGCGAGGTATAACGCGAACACCACTACAAAGTGCCTGCCAGAGAAGAAGCCTGCCGATTGTTCAGCTGCTACTTAGATGGGATGCAGATGTTAACGCCCCGCCGTCTTTCCGAAACGGAGGAACTGCTCTGCAGCTTGCTTGCTTGTCTGGCAGTATAAAAATCGTCCGGCATCTATTGTCTATTGGTGCTAATGTTTTTGGCCCAACTTCTGCTGCCAATGGGCGATCGGCCCTTGAGAATGCGGCAGAGAACGGACGTTTGGATGTCATCAAGGTTCTCTGGGACGCAACGGGAGGCTGCGGATTCCCAGCGACTGAGGTAGCAAGAGCCCATCGTTTCGCAAGGGCTAGAGGCTTCCCGGGCTGTGCAGAATATGTCGCCAAACTGGCAGAAGCGTCTTTGCTTGATTTCTCCATGGCAATAAGGCCCTGATACTGTGGGCGTTAGCATCATATGTTTCTTTCTCGTAAAATTTGCGGGCTCGTTTAATACCAGTCTAGTAATGAGTTTTTAAACAGCACGATTGCCTTTCATAGCCATTCCGAACGCACATGCTGACTGCCAAGGCACAGCGAATGCGTTGAAGATGACGCATGAGTCAGCCTTCAGTCATATCGCATGAGTCATAGTTGCCTTGACATAATATGAGCATTATCACTCTTCACATATTGAGCTTATTACTACGAGAAAGTTACCAGGAAGAAACTCGCTAATACTCTGCTGGGCTCAAGTTTCCATCAATCATAGGCTACGAGTACCCCAGCCTCGGCTGTGACCGCCACAATGTCTCTGCAGTGTCTTCCCTTCGAGATCTTGACACAGATAATTCAGCCGCTTATCCCATCCAATTGGAATGGTCTGAGCACAGACTCCAAAATCGGTGTTTTGAAGCTTCGCACTGTCTGCCGTCAGTCTATCTTCTCATCAATCCTTGACGAAAATGCTAAATCTCACCATAGGAAGCTTTGATCATGCGGTATCGCGATGCGCGCTCCGAAAGCTGGGGGCAGTTGCTTTGCTAAGTCTTGGTCGTCGGCCAGACAGGATTGAAACTGTTCGCTGGCTTCTGCTCACCAAGGCGAGAATGGAATATTCCTCACGGAGAAGCCCTTTTGAATATCTTTACATATGTGCCTCTTTTATGGCTTCTCAAACACTCTGGGTTTCTTCGAGTGCCCGGGGCCGCTGGGAGTGGTTGGAAACCGTTTGCGAGGTCATTATCGCCTCTCACGACACGGAGTGGGTGCTCAACCTCCTAGTTGGGGATTCAAGTATGTTTCCAGGGCCAGAGGCTTGGGAATTCCACCGCGCCCTCAATACTACAGGAGCGGCAGAGTTTCAAGTCGGTGGAGAGACAATCACAGCTGCTCAATCAATCGTGGCATTGCCTCTTGCTTCATTCCGAGGCAACGAAGAGGGAGTTGCTGTGCTTCTTTCTAGTGGAGCAAAACCCGATATGTGCCATTCGATATTTGGCAAACCCTTGTATACCGCGGCATACAACAATCATGTTCATATTATCAAGTTGCTGGCAAAGCACGGTGGCAGCCTCCAAACAAGTGGGCAGTTCGGCACTCTCATTGAAGTCGCTTGTCGGCAAGGCCATATTGAAACCCTTCAATATCTTCTAGACACTATTCCCGTACGAGAGTCGAAAAATTCTGTTAGCAAAGCTTTGCTGCTTGCTTGTAGGAATGGTCATGAAGAGGTGGTCCGCGTTCTACTGCAATGGGTCGATAGCATGAGTGAAGTGGACCAAACTTGGAGGGAGCTCGGCAGCCATTTCGGATTCAAAACCATTGGGACGCGGCCCCAAATTGACCTAAACTGTTCAATCAAAAAAGAGGGAACGCCCTTGGCAGCTGCCGTTGCAAATGGGAATGAAGCGATAGTTCGCATGTTGACGACTCGAGATGACGTGCAACAGCATTTTGGAAGAAGCAGGTTCTGCCCACTCTGGCTTGCCATTAAGCGGGACAATGCACCAATGGCCGTCATTCTTTTGGATCGCTATCAACTGGAGCCTAATTTCATCATTAAGCGAGACATGACCTTGCTTTGTGCAGCGGCAGGCCTGGGAAGTGCGTCAGCTGTCCGGATGCTTCTTCAACGAAGTGACATTCATCCGGACTTCCGAGAGCAGGAGAAGTATACGACCCCATTATCATTAGCAGTGCTCAGAGGTCATATTGAGGTCGTTAGATTGCTGTTGGGGCGAGCGGATATTGACCCAAATATTCCAGCAAAGGGCTGGAGACCATTAGAAATGGCTGTGCACAAGGGGCATGAAGCCATTGTAAGACTCCTTCTCACGCGGCACGATCTCAATCCGAATCTCCATGAAACTTCCTTCACACCGCTAGGGGCGGCGGCAAGGTTAGGCATGAAAAAAATCGTTCGGATGCTTCTGGGGCGGCCTGACACAGATCCAAATCTTGGACACCCCAACTCCGGTCACTCTCCCCTGAGACTTGCTATTATCCGTCACTGGCCACATGTTGTGAGGGAACTCCTCCAACGAAAAGATGTCGATACAAATCAACCAGGAATACACGCATACATGGTATCAGAACCGCCCCTACGACGTGTGTTAGAACGGCGGCCATTCGCTCCTCTCATAGAGGCTGTTTTGGCCGGATCTGCCGACGGACTACGACAACTACTGTCTCAGGAAAATATAAATCCCAATGAGCATCACAGAGGCCAGACTCCGCTGATTATGGCAGTCCAAAGCAGACGGATCGACATGGTTCGGATTCTTCTAGAGCACCCAAACATTGACGTAAATAAAACAGGCACGTGCGAACCGTACCATGATGAGGTTCACGTTAGAACGGCTGAAAGCACAACCTGGTCATACACGCCAACCCTAGTTTTGGGAAACGGGCCTGGCCCGACGCCTTTGTTTATCGCCTGTAGAAAAGGCTACCTCGAGGTTGTCAGTCTGCTTATTCAACACGCAAGGGTCAACTTGAAAATAAGCGACAATAGGTCTCGGACTGCGCTTTGGTGGGCGGCGTGGGGAGCGAACATGGAAGTGTTCACGCTACTTCTAAAACACTGTCGTGAATACATCAACACCTCCGACTTTGAAGGCTGGACGGCGTTGCATGTCGCGGTAAATTGGGGTCATGGTGCGCTTTTGGATATGCTGATGGGCTGCGTGGAGCTTGACCCAAACGCCGTCAACCAGGATGGTTGGACTGCTCTTCATCTCGCCGTTGACCGTCGTAGAACAGCGATAGTGCTGAAACTCCTCGAGCACCCCAGGATTGATGTAACATGTAGGAATGCTGACGGGCAGACGGCAATGGATCTGGCCCGATGGAGGGGATTTGAGAGGCTGGCTGATCTCGTTGGAAACCGGGGTCGGCGTCTTGCGCGTGTGCGGGCGACGGCCAAACTATTCTTCTCGAAATATTCGAAATAGTATTTCCGTCGATCCCAGCAAGCAGGCATGTATTCATAAAATACAGCAGTGCTCTGTTGTCGGGAAGTATAGTGAAACCTCAATTCAAGTATCATAGATCTCGAGCTGTTCACACCGAAGATGGGTATCTCCCCATTCGTGTTCCACTTGGCTATGGTATCTCACATTCAATAGCTAAAGCTGGAAAGTACTTGGCCCCATTTGAAACTTTCCACTCATCGGATGCGTGCTTCTCTTGGAATCATAAAAGCACTCGTAGCACTTAATTTAAGCGACCCGGGGTTGAACATGTCTGGATAAAGAGCTATCATCGACAGGGTGCGAATATATGTATTGCTAACTACCTGTACAACCAGCTTTGAAAAGACATAATCTTGTAATAATATTCCCGCTTAAACTTCTTCTAACTACTTATGTCTGCGACGCGTTGGTGTGTGTTGCCTTTGGCAATTCCAGCCTACGCATAAGATGCAAAGGCGATCCACTTACGAGATCCGTCTCGCTAAATGCTGCCTGTGAAGTCACGAAATCACCGGCGACTGCCAAGGTAGGACGAGTATCCGCGCTTCAATCTTGGCGAGGAGTGAGTGCTCGCAGTGCAGGGGTTTCTGCAAATTGCTTTGCTCGGCGCTTGGAAGGTTGCTGGAGATGGGCCAACGGCCACTTCCCAGAAGGCTTAGATCTCTCTCTAGGCTCGGAGACAACTGATCCTGGCTAGTGTCGGGGCTTCCAGGGTGTTATTTTGGGGGTTGCAAAAGATTGCAACTATTTTTAGGGAGGGGCATGATGAAACCGCCAGCCACCAACCAGTCCTGTCAGCTGGCCGCGCTGGTCGGAAATGGGTCCTTGCCTTCAGGGAGCTGGGTTCGCGGTTGCTGAGGAATTGTGGTTGATCATTGGCGTGTATGCTGGGGGAGGTTCCTGTGGTCCCGTCCAGGACGGAGCAGCCGGTGCCATTGAGCTTGCAGCAGGCACTTGAGTACTCGCCAGTAAGGGCACAGCAGGCGAAGACGAGTATTTGTTCCGATCGTACTCGAAGTTCGGGCTGCCGTTGGTGCTCCTGACCTGCTGCACGTATTTGAGGTCCTGCTTTCTGCGCATGGACATGATGGCGCCGAAGCGGAAGACGGTGAGAATGACGCCGATTGCGACAACAGAGACGACGATTCCAATAATGGCTCCCTTTGGGAATCCGCGATGGTCGGAATCAGGGTCTCTGGTTGCAATGGTGATTGGCAGGGCAATGGCCATTGCATGGGTGGGTGGCAACAGTCCTGCCATCGACAGGAGGAAGAAGGTACTGGAAAACATTGTGATGGGAATGACTCAGAAAGACAAAAAGGAAAAGGTATCAAGTTCAACCAGAGTGGTTTACCACCGGGCAACTAGAGGGAAGACGTTGATCCATCTTATATTAAGCTCTGAACATGGCTTCAACTTCACTTGTTGGCTTGGCAGAGTGGCCGTGCGATCCTCGTTCCTCCCAAGAGGGGCTGTGCGATGGTGGTCGCTAAACGGAGGCCGCGATGGCTGATGGGGCTTAATTAGACTAACCAACCCATGCATTACATGCATTAGAAGGGAAGAAGAACAATTGTTCCCCGATTTAGAAGGATATCGAGGGTCTTCCGTCTCATCGGGACTCTTCCACGAGGCTCCTCAATTGTCCGCCTGGTGATCGCCAATGCCACTATTCTTAGCTCTTAAGACGGTCAGCACCCGGTTGACCTGCTACTTCAGTGCGCCCGTCATCAGTAATGTTTCGTCATTTGATATCGACAGCATCTTTGGTCCTTTATCATGCTCAAGCCATCCCTCTACCAGCACTGGGCCACCCTCCATCAGGTCTCACGCGTGTTACCAATAATGAATGTCCCGGGCCAGTCCTGTTTTGACGGGGATCCCCATGACTCGCATGAAGTGGTAATTTAAGCATGGTAGAATATTTGGCGGTGTTCGCCCAACATCCTCGCCGGTCACCACGCTATACCTCATGCCAGCCCATTCACCAGTCCCATACTTACAGTGGTCTGCAGGTTGTATGCTTCTTTTTTCCTTGTGCCCGCCGCATTAGAATTTCTTGAATTAGCTGCGGGCTTGCGGGGCCTCCGGAACCGGAACCGCTGAGCTATGATCGAATCGATGATCCAACCATCTGATGGCTGATGGTCTGCCCCTCACTCAACAACCACTTCCCTCAACACAGCATAGCATACCATTTTGCGATCGATCCCTAGTAATCCTCTATTCCCAGATTCACTGTCGCTAGGCCTTCGTACTTCGAAGAGATTAGACATGTCGCTACCAACCTCTAGAGGCGTCCCATATCCCTTTCCCTTGACGGCAAGCAAGCAACAAGAGATCGGCAACCAGGCCAATATCACCCAAAATGTCACGTTGACCCTACCCAATGTTCGTGGTAAGATTCCATTCGAGCCGACATCCAGGCTCCGATCCATGTGGCTCGAAGCCCACGGCGACCCATCCAAAATCTTGGCCCAACCGTGCGCATTCGATGGCTTATCCTCGCGAATGATCGAGCAAGCCGGCTTTCAAATGATATTCATTTCAGGGTACGCTGTGGCGAGCACACATGGGATTCCAGACACGGGATATATTGCAATGCAAGAGATGTGTGACAAGATCCAGGAGTGCGTCCGGCAGGTTTCTATCCCGGTAATGGCTGACGGCGATACTGGATATGGTTCTCCTCTGAATGTCAGAAGGACTATCCAATCATTTTCCCATGCTGGAGCAGCGGGAATCATGATTGAAGACCAAACCTGGCCTAAAAGTATGAAGAGACAAATCAACTACTCAGTTGTTAAGAATGCTAACCCGAATGTTCTCAGGATGTGGCCATACCAGAGGCAAGTCTGTTGTTTCTCGCGAAGAAGCATTTGCACGAATCAAGGCCGCATGTGATGCTAGGAATGAAGGCCAGGATATTTTTATTCTGGGACGGACCGACGCGCTCATTCTCGGGTGGGAAGAGGCCATGTACCGGGCGCAGCGATTCAAGGAGCTTGGCGTTGATGCCGTCTTTGTGGAAGCTCTTCCCGACAAAGAGGCCATGAAGAAATGTTTAGAATCGGTGGATATACCCATGATGGCTAATCGTAGGTTTCGCTCTTTACCTCCTCCCACAATCGTAACTCTGCAATTGACTGGAATCTAGTTATCGAAGGAGGTTTGACTGAAAATATCCCCGCGCAAGAGCTGGCTCTCGTTGGGTTCAGTGCCGTCTGCTACCCTTTCACATTGGTGGCCGCCAAGCTGAAGGCCATCCACGAAGCGCTGGAGAATCTCAAGGCTAGTATGACAATTGGGGCACCCCCAGTGATCCTCCCGGCAGATGAAGTGCACAAGGCAGTGGGCTTTGAAGAGTATTGGGTAAGGCAATTTGTTCTCGCCGTCTTATGCGTCATTAACCCGTTGGATATAGGAACTTGAGAAGCGGTATGCCCACGACTAGAATATTCTAGTGAGAAGCACAACAGAAGCATAACAAAAATAGTTGGAAATTACACTGTCACTGTACCGCTCTAAGCCGCTCCAGCTGCGTGAAGTGAGAAGCTATATGTTAGCGTAAATAGTGTTAATTGAACCCTACCAGACTGTTTTCTCTTTGCCTATAGATTCGACGATGTGCACAATAGTTTACCTAGGGTAGGTATTACACTACAAATGTAAAAGTGGTGGATTTCTCACGATTGGGCCGTTGACCCCTTGAAGCTGACTGACGATTGTTTTCATCTTCTTACCAAAGGAGGAAGCTGAACCGAGAATTCGGTCTAGGGCATAAAAGGTTACAATGACTAATAATTGCAAAATCCAACCCCTCAATCCTCCAATAAAGCTCACCGCCAACCTACACTCGTGCGCAATTCGTGACTCGACTGATTTCCATCCAATGCTACCAGCCGAAATAGGAGCCGAGGTGGTGTCCCATCTCCTGCATCCTCTTTTCGATGATTTCTTTCTTATTGCCCGCACCGATGTGGACTGGGACACCCTGAAGTTCCTTGGCCCTCCTAGGGATGCCTGGTCTGACTGGCTTGGCGCAACGATTAGAACCTCGTTCTACAAGCTAGAGCCCGATATCAAGTCCCTTTGCAACCTACGACTAGTCTCTAGGTACTGGCTCACGACTGTCAATGCTGCCTGGGAGAAGCAACTCTGGTGGGACGTGGAGGTTGGGTCTCGGGAGAAGCTGGAGAGAGTGGCCAGCGCATGCTCCCCAAACGCCGAGCATGTCCATGCATTCGCCGGTAGTCTCGTCAAGCGACTCAGGATACCTTCGATCGAGAATGCACTGGCTTTTGAACGGATCTTTACTTTCGAATGGGGCGGACCAGAAGAAGAAATAATTGGAACGGCTGATATGCCATTCCGACGATTTGAACATAAACCCTTTTTTTCGGAGAACCCTCTCAAGAACTCTGGGCAGAGGGAGCTTATTGACCAAATTTTCAGCCGCCTGGGCAATATCGAAGCCCTGAGCCTCTGTTTCCCCGACGCCGGGTCTGATTATGACAACGGCACGGAGGGCAAAGCAGCCTACTATGATATGGAGGTGATCGATTCGTGCGTGGCCTTCTTCCAAAACACGCTGGCCAGTCCTTCATTCCAGTTCCTCGCGGACCTGACGCTGGATCTGCCGTGCACATACCACGTGGGAGAGTTCGCCAAGGGCCTGGACCAGCAGGCCCTCGAACGGCTGCTGCACCTGAAGATTGGCATCAAGGACTGTACTGGGGACGTCGGCTGCCGAGACCATCTCCAGATACGTGAAATCGGTGATTTTTACGAGCGTGATGGGGACATTCAGCGGCCGAATACATTTCCTTTCAGCAATGTCCAAAGACAGTTCCCCAACCAAGGCTGCCAGGATGCCATGTGGGATTTTGTCGCATCCTGTCCCAATCTCTTGTCTCTCTGTATCGTGGCAACTCAGTTCCTGGATTTGGACAAATTGGATTGGAAAAAATCACGCAGTTCCCGTGGCTTGCAGGTCCTATCCCTGGACCGTGTCTGGGTCAGTGTTACCTCGGTCAAGTCGCTCCTACAACCACATTCGACATCGAGTGCCCCTCCTGCGCTTCGACGTATCAACCTTCACGAGGTCAAGATGCATACCGAGGGGGGTAACTGGGAGGATCTGTTCGTTCATGTCAGAGAAAACTACCCGAATCTTGAATGCAGCAGGATGTACCAGCTGACTTACTTTAATGACCACCCTCGGTACGAGGACAACGAGGCTCCCCATGAGAATGTCAATGACGTATGGTTGACTGAGGAGACAGACTTCGAAGGGCTATATGCTCTTGGTCAGATGTTGGCTGGAAAGGTTGGTGGTAAGGAATTTTATCCAGAAGCGTGTGCCGTCAATTTGGAGTAGAATCGTGTCTGATCAAGCAACGTTCATCTCCGCACTTGATAATTAGGGTGAACGGCAAGAACCTGGTGTAATTGCGGGAATTTCTGATGTAGAGTGTTGACAAACTTCTCGTCCATAGCCACAAGAAGAACGCCGGATGACTTGCGGGGTTCTAATAGCTTAATGAACATATCACAGGCCTACATATAACTAGCAATCTTGAACGCTTTAAGGACCCGACAGATCACTAATTATGGGTGCTTCTGTATCCCTTCAGTTATGGCAAGATACAGCCACTACAGCAAGTGGCTCCGTAGAATCAACGCTTTCCTGATATTCTCCTACCACATCTTCTGCTGCACACTCCTCATCGCTGGTTATGGGTAAGCCAAGGTGACTAGATGCGTTTGATGGACTTGAGACTCACGTGTATGTCAGGCAGAATGCCCCTTCTGACAGCAGGACAGAGTTGACTTTCCCGCGTCTAGTGTTGCTGATTAGTCAAGGGCACACATATTCGCAATAGAAATATCAACGGCCGGCTTGGTCGCGAGAATTGAAGTAACCTACAGGCGTTCGTTGAGTTTAGTGCAATTATCAACTGAGACGATCTGTGTGTCCCCCTGGTAGTTGTTTTCTGAATAGACAACTCCCTATATTCATGTCAGTGGGCGGATTCCAAGCAACATTACATGGAGTCCTACAATAGGGAATGCGGGTGCAGGGCCGGCCAGCGTGCTAGCGGCTAGGAGAAGAAATGCAAATGATCGCATGGTTGATACTAAATAGGCTAAAAGGCGTAGGGAGAAGCGTAAATCGGGATTGGGAGATGATGCATCAAAGTTATTTGTATATATATTACTGCCTACCCTGTCCGTCAGCAACGCAAAAAATTGCCCTTTCATTTCCTTTTTTTCCCAGACAAGTTGGCTCTCCCTTGCTATCAGTGGAGCAGGTCAAAGCCACTGACGAGTATGACTTTCAATGTCTCAATTACTCATATTCTTGCTTGTTGCGCATTCCACAAATATAGTATTACGGCTTCGTGCACCCAACCAGGACTTCGATCATTTGAATCAATCGCAAAAAGAAAATGAATTGAAGTCTTTCTGAATTGATTTGTTCCGTTCGAGCCGATAACGCTAAATATAGAAACACGTTCAAAAATAGAAATGCAGGGTTGTGGTTATCAGGCTTCTTCGCAGCCAGGCAGCCACATCGCGATGCCCTTGGAGTAGACGGGTTGAAGCCCTCGTGGTAAGCGGTCGCCGTGAGGTAGGCCTAATAGTCAGAAGTCGGCTCCGAATGTCAATTCATACGGACCCGGCCCATCTGCCTTGTGTTGTGACGAACTCATTAGGAACCTGACCTCGCCGTCATGCCTTGCGATAGTGGAAACTAGGTGGATCTGTGTCATCCTGCGCTCAGTATCTTAGCGAAGTGAATTTCCATAAGAAAAACCTAGGTCCATCAAATGTAGATCAATCAACTAAATAGACTCTTGTATCGGTTTGTTGCTGTTGCACTTGCGCTTGGAGACCTTAAATTGGTTGATCGGAAGCCCTACTTGCAAAGCAATAAAGATGAAACTTGTTCCACCTGAAGACTCGGCGATCTTTCAGCTCGCTTACTCAGTAAGACTCCTAATCTCACTAACTTTCAGGTCTAGGCTAAAAAGTTTCAAAGATCCGAGTCAAGTCTCAATTATGACGACATCCGAGTTACCCGAATTTCGGGTTCGGCGGTACAGCTTTTGAATACAGAAAGACACCGATTGATAATATCGAGTACAAAGGCTTAGAGAATTGTGCATTCTTAGTACCGAATTTCGGTTATGTGAGAACCAGTAGATGTAGCGATTAACTTGGAGACGACCTTTTAGATCAGCCTTGTTCTACCAAATATCCAGTGGTGTCGGTTATTTTGTTCCACGCAAGATAACTGGCCGGTGCTAATTACCTTCGCCTTCATAACAACTATCTTATGCCCTTTGGTCTGATATCCAACTGTTGCACAAAGGGTTAGATTATTGGAGCGTACAAGCAGACAATGCGGCGTCAAGTTCCCAGTCCGATCCGCGTATTCGGAAACTAAGAGAGATTCCGTGATAGTAAAAAGCCTGACAAATTGCCCTGCAACAAGTAATTGCAATTCCCGCCGCTTCCTTCAGCTACAGTCTAAGCCCAGAGTTCAACCCAAATTTGACCCAGAATTTCCCCTCCTTGCTTCGTCCAAGGGCTTCATCCATTTCAGCCTTCAGAATCGGGTTCACCCCCTTCTTCCTCATCTTTTCTCGCTCTTCCATAGGAATTTTATGGACTGGGTGGTCTTTGGGCAAGCAATCGTACTCGTCCGCTTGTGTCGAGCTGAGAGAAGCGGTCTCTGTCGTGGTGACTGTTGGCTTGTCTGTCTTGGAGGGTTTGTTTGAATTCATTATCGTTCCTCGTGGGATGAATGCCAGTGATGTAGTAGTTGGAGAGCGAGATGTTAATTTGACACATCTAAGCCTTAAAGGTCAGGGTGCTTCGTAATTTATATGTCGGTTTAAACCGTGATCGTCGCTATGATGCAAGACGTTCCCTAAGTTCCACCACGTTGGTGTATATAACTGGGGATGGTGGGCATATGACATCACCGCTTGTGGCTATGCTCTTCAGCAATTGATTCCCGGCCTGTTCCATATACTATTCTCAGGCTTTGTTCGTGCTGTCGATATTTAGGAACAGAATCTAAAACGTAAATTAGTTACCGGGCGTGTATTGTAGATCCGCTAAGCCATCAACAAATGATCAAAGCAGTCCCTCCATTGCCTTGGCTGGAGTAGTGTCAGGACCAGACCCAGGCAACCAGGCACCTAAACAATATGTACATTGATTATCAACTCTACAAAAGGCTCATTGAATCATTCTTTGCAGATCTCAAATTAAGTATTCGTGCCTCGAGTAGACACGAGACAAAGTATAGATAGATTAACCAGCTGCCTTGAGCTTATCGAGAATGATGAAATAGAGCTTAAAAAACCTGTTTAAAAATCCATAAACTCGTATCCATGGATGTAGGTGCAATCTATTGGATAATCATTGAATAACTATTGTGAGAACTTCCAATAATAATGCATATATCTGAATCTTCTAGGGGCGTTTTTCACACACCTGTTCTTGAAATCCTTCACCTTTCGACTCTAAAGCTCCCCGATCTTATGACCCGTTTCTACGGCCTTGTATGGGCATCCTTTCCAATCACACGTGTTCTAGACTCATTAGCGCCCGTATAATACGGAATCAGAGGGCGGAATTGGATGTTATCTGCTTACCTTGTAAACAGATGTTCCCCACCAATTGAAGTTGTCTGCGGCGCCCGTGTAGAAAACGGTGAAGAATATGACGATGCCAGCAATTGCAAGGGAGCAGTCGAGCGCCGAGCTGAGGACGAAGTTGTACTTCATCCACCACTTCCGGGCATGCCTCTTGACCCACCATCCGAAAATAAGACCTACGATGGCCCAGCTGCCGTAGTTTGTTCCAGAAGCAGGAGGAATGTAGTTCAAGCCGCCCAGGAAGACAGGAACGTGGATTTTCTGAATCCAACGAGACTTGCCAAACTTTTTCTTCATAGGTATACGGCCGCTGGGAGAAGTGCACCGACGAGGAAGAACCAGAGAAGCGGGCGGTACAGAGAACCTGGTGCAAAGAATCTTCGAGGGCCAAGCGCGCCCCATACCATACTCGTGTTGAAGTGAGTTTTAGAAAATGGGCAGGTGAAACCGTTGGCCGCCTTGTTGGTGCAAATATTTGGTATGTGCTGCAACGCCCAGTTAACAACTGAAACTTGGCTCAAAGTGCTGATGACAATGCCAACAGCCTGGACTGTAAACAAATCTCGAGGAGGGATCTTGTAGCAGTTAGTCAATTAACTTACTTCATATTTGCATTAGGGAAAGGGCAATCTTACATTGCAGTAAAGACCGAGTTTTAGGTCTTGGGCAAACCACAAACCCTTGATGCCAGTGATGTAACCCAAGTCAAAAAACCAAATGTTTGCTAGGACCTTGCCTTCCCAAATATATCCGGCGATAATTCGACAGAAAACATCAATTGAGACATGTAGATCGGTAGCAGCACAGATCAATGCCAACTAAAGGTACGGATTGGTTAGCAAAAGCGACCATGTAAAAACAAACCCAAGCATTGCACCCACAGGGATAAAAAAGACGGCTGAGACAACGAATGCCAGTATAGCGCCGTACCAACGAAGCTGAACTGGGTAATATTCGCCAACGAAGATCCCAAGGCCAACGGAAATTGCCAATGTCACCAGATACCACAAAGTTGGCACGGACTTGTAACTAGGTTGGGCCGATTCACGCTTGACGTCCCCTTTCTTAAACAGAAGAAGAATATCTGAAGACTTGATCGCCTTCATGACGTCCTTTCGTTTCTCCAATAAAAGCCACACGAACAGCGACGAGATGCACGCAAACGATAGACCAAACTTGGTCAGCGCGTATGTTGTTGGGAGGTAGATCTTGTCCAGTTAGAAATCTGTTCCAAAACTTTGAGCGCACTAGGAATTGCTTACATCAGAGTATGCTTTGTATTTTTCATAGTCCAAGGTAAAGCCATCAGCCTTGTTGACAACTTTGGTCACATTATAGCTTTTGCCCATGTTGTCAAAGATGTCCGTGCTCTGGATCGGAAAGTGTGCGAAAGACCAGGTGTTTGAGTAGTAGAGGGCCGGAGAGATGATGTAGATCCAAAAGACAAGAGAGGCCAGGATATTCAGAATTGCCCAAGTTGGCACCACCAGTGGTGATCCAGTATAAGCAATCTGTGCCCCTATAGTAGACACAAAGTTGCCAGGTAAGAGGCTCCTCTAACCAATACACTTGGGGTGGGCGAAGCACTTACAGTCAAATGTGAAAGGTAACAATCCAATACCAGTCTTCATTCCAAACACTTGGTTGACAACGGCATTTTTAGGCGCAATCCAACAAACCCATGTGAAATAGCCTAGAGCTGGGA